ATCACAATTAAGTATTATGTGCCAACTTATATGGAAGTTGACTCCGATTTCAGTCTGCTTTCTATCTGACTTTGCTGATATACATTTTGTCCACCGAAGAACAAACTGCAAGGTATAAGTTGATTGATTTTGGAGTTGTCTCCCCTAGATGGTGGTTAAATCAATCTGTAAAGAGACGCTCTGGTTAATGTGGCTAACGTAAGTAATGTTATAAGTATAGATGTGAGATATTAAAGTTACAAGCAAGGCAGGTAAATCTGATTATACTGGGAACTGTGTTTCGTTACAAGATATGTAAGTCAAAAATGAGAGTCTGGATTAGACACGTAGCGACACCTTTAGTCGCCCGTAGCGATGGGTCAATTTTACAGTCAGTCAGCAAAGCCTTGTGTGTGCCGTACTCCTAAATTGCAGTTTGTCAAATTTAGTTATGTAGCTCAAAATGAGTTCTTTATTTTTTATTTTATTACCGTTTACTTTCAGCCCACCCCCCCCCCCCTCAACCTATGGATTTCACTTAGGTCACTGGGGCGGCCCTACATTAGCTATACGACTGGTCTAAATACAAGACACGGATGATTCGATGCATGATGACCCCCATAATTACCACTTGTTAAAACACTTCAAAACGGTGAAAAAAACAATAAAACTAGAGAGTATCGCTGGGTGTATCACCAACACCACCTTCTGGTGTGGTGGTGATATGCCAAGCTCACCACCAGAGGCGTAGCGACCCTTCCCGGCGCCCGGGGCGAACTTTCAATTCGGCGCCCCCCCCCCCCGCTTATATATATATATATATATATATATATATATATATATATATATATATATATATATATATATATATATATATATATAGTGTGGGTGGGTGTGTGTGTGGTGTGTAATAATATGTTGTGTGTGATAGTGTGTTTATATATAAGCTTGTGTGTGGGTAAGAGTGTATTTGTGTGTGTAAGCGTGTGTGTAAGCGTGTATGCTACAGTCCGGACAAGGTTTAATAATTACATTGTATGATTTTCATTCCTTAAAACTTTACGACAATTTAATTCCCATTAAGATGCGTTTAACTTTTTTTGCGAAAGATTAGTAATGTCAGTAAAAAAAATAAGCCTGATCTGTGTTAGTGTAGAGGGTAGTTTGTAGCTAACGCTAATATGTTTAGACCAGCCTTTTATGTTCTAGTTTTGAACGATCTCTGTTGTGATATGGTACATATTGGATTCGAAGTTTGTTAGAGTAAGGACACACAAGTGACATACAAGAAGAAGTTATCAGAAATATTTATTGTTCACATTGGAATACGACATGGGTATTTCGTTGATTGGTTGATGGTATGACAAAACAAGCTAGAGAAAACAAACTGGAAACCAACGGATGTTAACAGCTCGTAGTCTTGGATTTCGCAGATTTGCCCTGCCTTCTCGCACACAGTTTCTTCCAGGCATCTTTTCGGGGGGGCGAAGCCCCCCGGAAAAATTTTTACGGCCCCCCCGAACGAAATGAAATTTATATAATTTATATATAGAAAAATATATACTTTTAACAGTGTCCGCCCCCCCCCCCCGAAGAAATTTTACCGCCTCCCCCCCTCCCCCCGAAGATTTCAAGTGCCCCCCCGGAGAAAAAAGTCTGGAAGAAACACTGATCAAAAGTATCTGATCTCTCACGTTGAAGTTGAGAGAATCGTAAGAATCTTACAAAGAACTAGTCGCGTCTTTTTTTTAACAAAACTGGCTATTGAAATTGTACATTACGCGTTAATACACTTGGTTTCTTTACTAAGTGTTAAGAGAGTTATCTACTCACCAATCCAGTACAAATACTTGCGATTTTTGTTAGCGAAAAAAGCGCCCCCCCCCCCACCCCCACACACACTCATCACAACCATCTTGGACAAAGTTTGTAGAGCGGTTTTTAACGTAACTAACTTTTTTTTTAAAAATGTTACACAATTATACAAGGCACAGTACAATTCGTTTCTTTCTGAGAGCTAAAGGTTGTTTACTCAGAATCCTGTGTAATTTTGCTATTTTATTTAGCCTAAAAAGCGCCCCCCCTGCACCATCTTGATAAAAGTCACTAACGTATTTTACAGTTCAACAATCGTACAATACGTTTTAATACAATTGGTTTCTTTTAATAGTGGTAACGTTTATCGACTCAACAATCTAGTGTAAATTCTTCCGTTTTAAGTCTCGAAAAAGCGCCCCCCCCCCATCTAGGAAAAGCTTCAAAGCGGTTTTGCCGGTCACTGTTTCTTAAGAGTATATGTTTTACATTAAGAAATCAAGATAGAAAACAGTTAAATCAGTATGTAAATGCGTGTAGCCATTATATTTCTTAACTTAGACAGTTTATAATTCAAAACTGCAGCATAAAAATCAGTTTTAAAAAAATTTTTCTCACCCCTTTTGGCGCCCCCATAGGGTCGGCGCCCGGGGCGGCCGCCCCCCCCCCGCCCCCCCCTAGCTACGCCTCTGCTCACCACCTGTGCAGGGTGTACCATACACGTTTTCAAAACATGAACCTGGTGTTAAGTGTTGGGGTAGGAAGTCCATCAGATGAGTCTACCTAGTGTTAGAGGGGTGGGGTAAGGATAAGGCAGGGGGGGGAGCTGTGGTGTACTCCGTTTAAAGCCAAGTATAACACAGCTGGCGTAAGGACGACATACATGTGTGGTTTAAGTATCGTATGAATGACATGAGTAGTGATCTAACTCACCTATGTTAGACAATTGTTGATTTGGTTACATGGCAGGTATTTTGTAGGGTTAAGACACGATTCTATGGGACGGAGTGGCCAAGCGGTAGAGAGCTGGACTGCTAACCCGTAAGTCTCGAGTTCGAATCCGAAGACACAATTCCTGCTGTATTTTACACTCTCCACAGAGTCACACCATACGTCACACTCACAAAATGACTTATGGTTTGTAAATGATCCAAGACTAGTTGGTAAACAAAAATATGCAACTCATTTGTGGAAATTTCAGGTTATGTTTTTGAAACATTTGTAATCTTTCTTAATTGTGACTTTTTAATTACAGTATTTATGAAGCCTCGATGCTTCTTTCATATTTTTATTTTATTTGTTGGTTTCTTTGCATATTTGTTTAATTGTTGTCAGTCCATTCGTCCTTATGTCCGTCTGTACATCTGTCAATCTGTCTGCCCGTCTATTCGTCTGTCCGCCTGTCCGTCTGTCCGTCTGTACATCTGTCCATCTGTCTGCCCGTCTATTCGTTTGTCCGTCTGTCAGTCCGTCTGTCCGTCCGTCTATCTATCTGCCAGAAACAGATATGCATGAGTATAATCTCTGCGACTCCATCCCACGGAGTACCACGTTAATGACAGCCCTAATTAGGATAATGAGTGTTACATAAACCGAGCAGCCAGCCTGCATGTTAATGACGTGGCAGACAGCACTCGCATGCTGGGCTGACAGATACAACACCGCCACCAGCTGAATAAATCAACACCAGCACAATTAGTGACACTAATTAGTGACACAGTCGAAAAGATTTGAACAACGATCACGTTCAAAACCCCTGCGTCCCCCCTACCCCTCCCCCACACGTTCACCACAACCCAATTTTAAACACACTTAAATGATAATCAATGTAATTAATTTAAATAGAACAAAGCCAAAAGTCAACAAAAAAGTATTAGATTTTTTAATTTACAGCTCAAAATAAGGTAACACAACTTGATAATACGCGATAAAACACGATGAAACATTATGAAACCTGGTGAAACATTAAGAAACCTGATGAAACAATATGAAACGTGATGAAAAATTAACCAACATAAATTGTTGCTAATGTGAACTCTTACTTTGGTCGTCAATAAAGCCTTCAATATAAATTTTATGTATATATATATATATATATATATATATATATATATATATATATATATATATATATATATATATATATATATATATGTATGTATGTACGTTTTTATTTATTTATTCATTTTGCATTCATTTTAGCGAGGTCGGGTGTCACCCAGTGCGACACTTAATGGTGTCACCCTCCAGAGGAGTAGCGACCCTTCCCGGGGACAAACTTTTTTGCACCGCCCTCCCCTCAAATTGTTCTCTATATATATTGCTATTTTTTGCCTTGGTGTCACCCCCCTAAATGGTGTCACCCGGTGCAGTCCGCACCCCCCCCCCTGGGCTACGCCTCTGCATTTATGTATTTATTTACATGCATAAGGGTATATATGGATGTATATATAAATAAATATATATATATATATATATATATATATATATATATATATATATATATGTGTGTGTGTGTGTGTGGTTGTGTTTATTCATAAAATATTTGCATTTCATTGCATTATATTTACATCTAATGAACAGCTTACACTAACAATCCCTGGTTTATAAATTACACATACGACAGGCTATTAACAACATTCATCAGCTAAAGTACACATGGGTTTTTTAGTGTCATACCGCAGTGGCACATACTAATCTACTTTCTAACTATAGCCGACACCAGACTGATGTGATAGGAAACTAATCACAGGGGGGCGGGGGGTTGAACGTCTTGTATTGCTGGGGCCCTTGAGGTATGGATAGCTTACATGTGTATTGGCAGTTCACTAGTGTCCGCCTATTCCACCCAGGAGAGTATGGTCAGAAATTGATAAATAGCTCCCAAGCCAAGAATATTGAAATATTTTTTCAAGTCCAGAAGAGATATTTTTCCACGCAAGAATGTGGAAATACTTTATGAAGTAAAAAATCTTTTAAAAATCTTTTTTTTCTTCTTCACCACGAGATCTGGTATCGTTAGACTTAAGAAAAATCTGGAACTATTGCGAATCATTCTTGTCATATATGAATCTGGAACTATATTATTCTACACGAGAATTGGAACTATTTTTTTCAGCCAAGAATCTAAAACTGTATATTCTGGCCATGAATCTGGAACTATTTTTTCAGCCCATGAATCTGGAACTATTTTTTCTTCTTGACCTCGAGATCTGGTATCGTTAGACAAGAAAAATCTGGAACTATTTTTTCAGCCCATGAATCTGGAACTATTTTTTCTTCTTGACCTCGAGATCTGGTACCGTTAGACTTAGGAAAAACGCCAGTGCGGCGGCCACAGAGCCCGTCAGAAACACGTTGGTCCAGCCGATGCTTTTGATGAGGGGTGGGACAACGATGGGACCGAGGAAGTAGACGACCCACTGTGACGCAGACATAAAACCGACGTTGGACGCAAAATGTTTTTCTCCAAATAGCGCCATCGGTGTCATGTAGTAAAACACTTTGACGGAGGACGTTGCGTAGAACTCCAAAGCCACGAAGACGATGTACAACGGTGGGAATGTGTAGAGTGATATGGGCATCATGGTCATGAAAAAGTTGGAACAAGCGCAGGTGGTGACCAGGACAGGCTTAAGGCCGTATTTGTCAGACATGAAGCCGACCAGAGGACGGAACACCATCAGGACGAAGGTGCTGATGGTGCCTGTCATAACGAGGGTGTTGTCGTTGTTGATGACGGTCAGACCGAACTGTTTGTAGAGGTTGAGGTGGATGAAGAAGGTGTGTCCCATCAGCGCGAATATAGTCCAGACTTTCCAAAAGGTCAAAGTGCACAGCATCTCTCGAGGTGTCAAATCTTTCACCACGATCTCGGAACACGTTTTTGATTTTTCGTCACCCGACTTTACCTCGCCTACTTCAAACATTTCTTTTTCTTTTAGCTCCTGTGTAGCTGCCACATCCCCGGTTCGTATTTCAACGATAGTTTGATCGTTTAATTTTTCGTATGTGTCTTTTACATTTGATTCACTAGATACCGATTCATTGATAGCACTTACATTATCCTTTTCTTTATAAATTTCACCTGCAATGTTATCGTAATCTTCTTTCTCTTCCTCGCCTGGTTTCGAACCCACAAGTAACTCCTCCGTCTGCCCATCGTCAGACGGGTTTAACTCTCTCCGCCTACACTGTATCAGGATAAACCCGACCAGCTGTAGAGCGAATGTGAAAAGTCCTATTTTTAGAAAAAATGGCGGAACTCTCTCAATAACTTCCGGGTCAGTGAAATAACGGATGTTGTTGATCTGGATGTCTGTGGCGATGTTGGATGGGTTGATAAGGTAGTACGACAGTAGCATATGTAGGAGGGGGAAGATACTAGGGCCGGTTGATAAGATCCCGAAGGCGAAACCTCTTTTTTCTGGAAAAGTCTCAGCGGCCAGCTTGTAGGGTAAAGCCAGAAGAATCCCACCAGCCACGCCTTGAGCTATCCCAAAACACAAAAGTAGTGCCAGAGGTTCCTGCACCGCCCAGTAGCTGAGGATCACAGAAGCACTTTGTATCACTGCCCCAACCAAGATCCCCGTCTTCAAAGACGACTTGGTCTCAATGAACCCAGCAAAAATCATCCCGATGGGTTGGAGGATTTTAAAGGCGGAGGACAGCCACAGCGGATCCACCCACACGTAGACACGTGACATGTGGGCGTGGTAGTAGGACGCCAGGTAGGTGAGGAAGTTGCCGAAGTAGACCGAGACAGAGACCGGCATCAGTAACATGATACAGCCCATCAGCACCAGGTACTTCCTCAAGAGGGTGGAGACGCTTCTATAGCGACAGTCCATTCTCCAGCTCGCTGGGGACACAAAGGTTACACACATTTACTTTTTACCACACACATACTCAAACTCACACACACTCTCACATACACGCGTGCACACACACATACACACACATATGTCAGATTTTGGAACCATAAACATCGCACCATGCAGTGCTTTTCAATGCATCGCAGTGTTTTATTATAAGTATCAAAATAGGGTTTGTTTATATAACGACATAAAGTTATTTTATAGTTGTCACTGTTTTTACTCTTTTGCATAACGTAAAGAAAATATTAAATACACGCACATTCCTAAAACATATTAACGTGATCAATGTCAAATATCATTTTCGTTTATATTCCTAGAAAAAGAGGATACATTTTTATAATAGTAGGTCGAAAAAAAGAATTAATTCAACTTTTTTTTGTAATTTTTGCAAGGGAGGTAATTTAAAAATAAATTCAACTCATCAATAATTAAAGTTAATTTTTTTTTATTACTACCGCATTGATTATTATATAAGGTTCATAATTAAAATAGAAAAATGTTAAGATTATTTATATTATTTTCTAATTAGTCTATGATCTCTCAAAATCACTATTTTTTTTGTTTTTGTTTTTCGGTGTTAACAGATGGTGAAATTTTATAATTATAGTATAGAGCAGGGGTTCCCAACCTTTTTTTTACTCTAGAGCACATTCTAAAATATCGGTAGGGTGGCGGGCACCACCTATTTTAAATCGACAAACTCCTTCCAGAGGCGTAGCGACCCTTCCCGTCACCCGGGGACAAAACTTTAAACTTTCGATTTGCACCCCCCCCCCCCCCACCTCAAACTTTCGATTTTCATCCCCTTCAACCTTTCAATAATGTTTATGAAAAAAAATCTGTCTCTGTCGAATAGTAAGAGGCGGGCACGTACGAATCGTTCGGCGGGCGCCATGGCGCCCGCGGGCACGGGGTTGGGAACCCCTGGTATAGAGAATGCTGGAAAGGCTCTCACTTGGCGCGGACGCCTCGGAAAGCGTGTTTTTCGGTGGTGATTCTAATTGCATTGCCAATGTGTTTTCTTAGAACCATAAAAGTAAACCATAAAAGTAAGTTATGGAGTAGGATCTATTTATGTGACTTAATTTTTTTTGCTGAAAAGCTCTCTTTGGGCGTGGACGCCTAGGAAAGCGTGTTGTTCGGTGGTGATTCTAATGTTGTGGTTGTGTTGTGGTTGTGTTGTGGTTGTGTTGTGGTTGTGTTGTGTTGTGTAGTGGTTGTGTTTGTGTTGTGTTTTTCTTTGTTTTGCTCTGTTCCCAAGTTAGTACATTTAAAAAAGATTTACCATGGCGGAGCACAGGTATGCATCTAGTATATATATATACACTATATATATATATATATATATATATATATATATATATATATATATATATATATATATATATATATATATATATATATATATATATATATATATATATACAGTATATATATATGAATAATTCATTACATGTAAGTTTGTTGTATTTAGTTTGCTCATATATCCATACATACATATGTGACAGCTGCTGCTCTGTTAGTTATTAAGGAAGATCTAATTTTTTTTATTTTATAAATCCCTAGTCTATATGAGCTTACTATCACAAAAATGAGTATTTCTTCATTTCTTAAAACATTCTTATTTTCCCACACGACAAGCGGTGGAGCGAGTGATTACCAACCCAAACTGTAGGAGGTATTCAAATCCTAGGACGGCCATACACCACCCAGTAAGAGGATATCGAAAAACTTTTTACCAGTATTCTGTAAGGGTATCGAAAAAAAAACGAATTACTGGTATCGTAAATCCGCCGCTGGTATCAAACGTTTAGATTTATATATTAAGACATAAAGATCTTGTCAAAAAGATCGGTGATAACTTGATATTTAATATTTGATCGTTGTCCGCCATTAATTCAGTGTAATAACATCTGAGAGGTATTGGGCTGTAGTGGCAAGTCACCGATCGCTGTTAAAATTTTTTTTTAATAACGACATGCTAAACTACACTATGTGGAATACTTTGAGAGGAGAGTGGGGGGGGGGGGGGGGTGACAACAAAACATACAGTAATACTCGTTTTTTTTTTGTTCTAGTTGGCTTTGTAGATTGGCATTATGGGGGGGGGGTATCTTCTTGTTGATTGTTAGTATGTATGAACAGTGATGTGAATAGTAGCTTGTCTTTTATTTAGGAGGAAATAAGTCAGTTCAACATTTGAATTGATTGACATTCTATTACTAGATGGGCCAGCGTCTTTGGTCTAGTTGTGTCCGCCTAAACTGTGGGATTGTCTTACGTTTTAAGCATGTCTATAGAAAATTTGTGGATAGCGCGAACACTGCGTGTGTTTAAAATGACAAAACTAATCATCTTCTCCCTTGTTTTTTAATCTACATAAATTATATATATATATATATATATATATATATATATATATATATATATATATATATATATATATATATATATATATATATATATATATATATATATATATATATATATATATATATATATATATATGTGTGTGTGTGTGTGTGTATGATGTATGTGAATGATGTACATGATAAAATCAACTAGAAAACATAGTTTAACTACTATCTATCACAGCTTGTACTAGCTAATAGATGTTCACATGAGCACATCATGCTGAAGTATGAATGTGTACCTACCGTGTTTGATCAACAACAGCACAAATGATGAGCGAGACATATTGCTCCTAACACAACACCAACAAATTGTCCTAAATCATTTCAATGAAATTCTCATACACTAGGCCCCTTCCTTCGTGGTTCGAGGTATAGACACCAACACTCCCGCAAACACTCGATGAAATAAACCGGCTCTTTAGATTCATATAAGAAATATGAACATCAAACGAAGTGTCATTGCCTGCAGATATGCCCGTCCAATAACCACAACTCCACACTGTGGTCAAAGCTTGATTGTCGCCCTTGTGTTAACTGCTCGTGAATTCATAACCGTTAGATCATTAGTCGTCAGCAAGTGAGCGAGGTGGCGAGAGCTGGTCGAGACTTGACATGACGTCACAGTGTAAACAGTTAGGGGAGAGTTGTAAACAATTTAAAGAGGTTGGTGTGGGAAGGTGGGGGAGGGGAGAGACAGAATGTGTGTCAACAACCGAACAACTATTTGCACTGAGGTGAAAACACCGACTAGCGACATTTATCTTTTCCTGGCCACCTGGGGTTTAGGTATCTCGAGACAAAAGTTGACGGCGACAAAAGTGACGACAAAAGTTGACGACAAAAGTTGACGACAAAAGTTGACGACAAAAGTTGACGACAAAAGTTGACGACAAAAGTCGACAGCGACAAAGGTTTGACAGCGACAAAAGTCAATAGCGACAAAACTTGACAAAGACAAATGTTGACGATAAAAGTTGACAAAAACAAAATTTTACAACGACTATGATTGACAGCGACAAAAGCTCATGACGACAAAAGTTAACGACAAAAGTTGACGACAAACTTGACGACAAAAGTTGACGACAAAAGTTGACAAAAAAAAAGTTGACAAAAACAATAAATTTTACAGTGACAAAAGCCCACGACTACAAAAGATGACAAAAACAAAAGTTGACGACGACAACAGTTGACAAAGACAAAATTTGACGACAAAAGTTAACGACAAAAGTTAAAAAAAACAAAAGTTGACAGACAAAAGTTGACGACAAAAGTTGACTACGAAAAAAGTTGACTACAACTTGCTTACAAGCTTCACTTAACGTTGTCTCTCGCGTCTGTTGATGTCTGTGCATTATATGATAGGAGTTTGTGTATTATATGATAGGAGTTTGTGTATTATATGATAGGAGTTTGTGTATTATATGATAGGAGATTTTATATTATATGATAGGAGCATGTCATGTATCTGACAACATGAATAACACCGGCCGGTAGTATCAACAACATGATATTTTTTCCACCTGAATGATTTTGAAATTGATTGCACATTTGGAAAATTTTCAGAGCTACGCAATGTAACCTCTCATTAACATTGCATGCATGGGTAATTTTATACGCCTGAAAAAATAACCCAGTACGTAGGTACTGTCTAGTGGGAGAACATTTGGCAACGCTACCCCAACATATGGTCGGGTATCTTTGTACGGTAATTTATCATTTGACCATGGTGACCTCTACCACACTATCCTTCCGACATTCCCTCTCCCCTCTTAAGGCCTCTACAACACCCCCCACACACACACACACACCCACACATACACCAAAACAAGCCATTGTTATTTATTTTTTCGTTCTTTATCGGAAGTTACAAGTCTAAAACAGCAACTTGGCAAAACCTTAAATAGCTATATCGTTATTGTTTAATGTTAGGTTTAGTCTAGTTTATAGGGACAATGCTAGAGGGAGGGGGTAGTATTAGAGTTGGATTACTTTTTCTTATCAGACCAAAATAATAATACATTTACTAAATGTTAGAACTCCGTTAAGTAATAGTCCATTCGCCGTTCACCGTTCAATCTCTATTCAGTCTTGCTGCTACAGTATTTACACTTTAGTACATCGCTAATCTGAATAAAATTCTATCAAATGTCAGTTCTCTAATATAAAAGTTTGGCATTGATATGTAAATTCCCAGACATCCATGCGTATCTTATGAAGATGGCGTTGTGAATAACTAAACAAAAAAGTATCCTATTTGTGAGAGTACTCTCTCGTAAACTCTTGAGCTAAAACAGTTCAGTTCAGATTTTAAAAAATTATTTTAAAAAATTATTTTGGCTGTAAGTCTAAAAACATGTTTCTTTTCTTTACTTCTGTTCTGCTTGAAATATTTCTGACAGACTTTCAAATGTAAAAGCGTGCTTTAGATATATCGGTAATGATGATTATAACAATGGTGGGATGAGATATATATGTAAGGCTAAAGTTAGATATGTATAGCTATATATATATATATATATATATATATATATATATATATATATATATATATATATATATATATATAAGCGCGATGTTTAAAGCTTAAAATAATCATATAATGCATATGTATATAAAAGGATTCATTGGCGTCAAATCTTTGAATAACTGAATAACGTAATGAATCATATGAATGCCAATGTAAACACAAATGGTAATTAAGCCCCGAGTTGATGACGCTCAACACATGTTACATGTTCTACCATTACAGTTTACAAAATACTCGGGATTAAACGTCCAGTGGACTGTTAGCAGGGTGGGGGTGGGCTGTGAGCGGCCCACGTGTATTGTATAGCTGTGTGGAGGGGGAGGGGCGGTGTTTCGAGCGTTAATGTGGTTTAAATGTTGTGTGGTTTTATTGTGGTGTGGTTTAAATGTTGTGTGGTTTAAATGTTGTGTGGTTTAAATGCTGTGTGGTTTAATTGTTGTGTGGTTTACATGTTGTGTGGTTTAATTGTGGTGTGGTGGTAAATGTTGTGTGGTTTCAATGTTGTGTGGTTTCAATGTTTTTTGGTTTCAATATTGTGTAGTTTAAATGGCGACCGTTGCGTTTTTCTCTACGTGGTAATCATACCACATACTTTAGAAAGACTAAGTTGATATGAATGATATTCCGCGTATGTGGTAATGTTTTGACACGGTCTGTTCATTTTTTTTTAACCTACGCTAGTACGTCGGCCTTATGTCCTGTCGGCCTTATGTCATGTCGGCCTTTTGTCTTGTCGGCCTTTTTTATTCGTATTGCTGACTCTAGATTTTTTATGCAGACGTCGCTTTAAAAAAAAAGTATATTTATTCCAACACACACACTCACACATACACACACACATACACACACAATAACAAGTCCCGAGAAATTTGTAGGTCACACGTGAAGGAGAGCGTGGGGGAATTCTCGTCAGACCTGAACAACTTTTTTGGGTCACGACGCGGCCACGTGATTCAAAGTATGACCGAATGCCAGTGACGTCATTTGTGACGTGTGAATCTTCCGTCATTAATACACGCACTTGTGGAAGAGACTTGGTCAGACGGGATGATTTTTGTGAAAACATCACAGGCAGAGGCGTATCCAGGTTTTCGTTGTAGGGGGAGCGAAAAGAGCAAAAAAAAAAAAAAGCGCCGAATTTTTAACACGTTCTATATACGTGTATTACATATATATATATATATATATATATATATATATATATATATATATATATATATATATATATATATATATATATATATATGTCATCACTTCGCTATGATGTAAAATAAATTGAAAGTAGCACTCTGAATAAATAAGAAAACACACACAATGTAAGCCGACAAAACAAAAATTGTATCAATCTAAAAAAAAAAATATACACACACTACAACCAAAAACAATGAACGTAACACAATCTGTTTTGTAATTCTTGTAAAAAAATGTCTTACATAATAATTCCTGGGAAATTATTTAAGACAAGTGAAATAGGGAAAATAATCTCTCTCTTAAAATAAATATGTATATATATACACATTTAATTATAAATGTCAAAACAAATAAATAATTACTTTATAATATAATGAAATAGTTTAACACTATTCGTGTTTATAAAATGTTTTTGTCTATAATCAGAATTTAATATATCGTCACCATAAATGCTTAAGTATTACAGCATAATGAAAGTTTTTTAAATCAGAGTTGGTATAAAACCACGCTTTTCGATATAGTAGTAGTAGAAAAACAATCGGAATAACAGCCTACATTCAACTAAATATCGGTCTTGTAGTTCAAATCATATATTTTTAATTAACTACTGCTTTTTTGTGTTCTTTAAAGATAATTTTTTAACATAGTGATAGGTATGGGTTAGATCACTGTATTGATCATGTACCTTTTTACTGGTAATTGCAAAAACAATATTCCCAGAGTTTTACGTTTAAAAAGCTAATTTTCTGGCGGCATGGTACTTTGGTACATCATTACGCGTTTTTCTACATGTACTTAACAGATCAGCTCGGGGTGGTTTGGGGGGGGGGGGGGGGGGGTTCAACTTCATTCACAACTGTCCGGTCACTTTTGGTCAATTATCCAACCCAGTGTATACCTAGGTGTGATATTAATGTAAATTTAAATAGAGGTGCCACATCAGTTGTATTTGTTTCTGTATTGTAATGTTTTTAAAATTAATCACACGATTCAAACTGTATATATAAAGTAATTATGTGTGAAGTTTTATGTATAACAATTTCTAGTTCAATTATTCGTAAGCAAATACATTATACAGTTGCCTTAAACTTAACAGCCCTCTTGCTGAGTGTTACTACCCGTAGAGATTTTTTAAACATTGCAATGCATCGTAATGGTTATTTTTAGAATGGCAAACTGATGCAGCTGTTAATACGTGTTGTAAACTTAGACACTACTAGACTCGTACAATGATGCTTAATTACTGCATGAAAAGAAATCTTGTGATTTACATAGATGTGCCGACCAAAAATATTTTTTTAACAAATATCATTGTTTAAAACTTTGAGTTTAAAAAGTTTCCAAAAAGGCGCCACTTTGCTGAAAATGGCCAGAGGGGGAGCGGCCGCTCCCCCTGCTCCCCCCCTGCGTACGCTACTGATCACAGGTTAATGAGTCAATACTAATTAAAACGCAATATATAATTCTTAAAATATGCAACTTCAATAGACATGGAATTTTAATTTACATAACCTGAGACGGGTATTAGTGTGGTAGTAGTCCTTGCGCTAAAAAGATTATAAAACAGATTTTTAAAAGTTTGATATTTTGTTTTGCTTGATTGGGACTCTGGTTACTTAATACATGCGCTCATTTAGGCCAAAGGGAAGAAACAAATCCGGACATTCGCACTTGATTTTTAGACCGTTATCTGGGTCACTAATCCGCTTATTCAGGTCACGTGTCGCAGGTGGCTTTGACCCAGATCCAGTGCGGAAGCCCAGTTTGAAGTCAATTTTCCAGTTATCGCGTATATTGGGTATATCGCCATATATCGGGTATATCGAAGCTAAATATATGGACTGTAATCACATATATTGGGTCTTAAGATAAGGACGGAAATCACATATATCGGATTTTAAGATAAGGACAGTAATCGCATATATCTTTATACTACTAAAACTCAAGTTTGTTTACATGTTTGAATATTTATTTATTTGTTTGTCTGATTGGCTACTGGAGAGAAACTGCACTATGTATAGAGCTGTAAAATAGTATGTAGGTATTAATTTATTGATTTATTCATTGGTAGATTAACGACATTAATTATAAAAGTTTCAAACAGTTGCTTTACTTTGACTGAATAGTGACGTCACATGATTTGTTTACTTTTTACATCAACAATGGCGGCTTTTATCGAAGAAGATAGTTTTTCCCATTCCAATGTTTAACGCGTTCTAAAGCTAATTTTCTGTCGGCTATAACTTTAGCAATACGTCCGTTTGAAGCATTTATTACGTTCCAACATTTATATCAATTTTCAACTGTCTTTTTCTTTTTGTTTTACAATAAATTTCTCTAGATCTACAGATCAGCTGTCGAAGGAAGAAAAAGTTATGAATCTAGATCTAGATCTAAAAGTCTAGATCTAGGTCACTAGACTTAACGTAAATTCTAGATCTAGACTTAATGTAAATTCTACATCTAGAATCTATTTCAGGCCTTAATTATTTTATATAAATCTTTTTTTGTTTAGCTAGACAATTGGCTAATATAAGATAAAATTTAATTTGAAATAATTCTACGATTCGCGTAGATTCTTACGCAGATTAAAAGTAAAATATATAAGTTATTACCGACTCATATACGAGCCTAGATAGCTAATTAGGTTATCATGCTGTTGGCACGGGTTTGAGATATGTCAATGTTAATTTTTGCTTCTTTTTTTTTTTTTTTTTTTTTTTTTTTTTTTTTGTGAATGATCAAGTTGCCTTTGCCTATTGGAACTTAGCGGGATACAGGGCAAGTTAAGTAGAGTTAACCTGTTTCTTTGTCCTCAGTATATAACGTGGATAGTGTGGTCAGAGCCATGCTCGGCCGAAATATTTTTTTAAAGACAAAACATGTTGTCTGAGACTTGGCGGAACACTGGGCTTTCGCTAATGTACCTAGTGCTTTAGCTAATGTATTTAGTGTATTTAGTGCTTTGTCTAGTTACATGCTAGTATTCTAGCACGCATACATGTTGAAAAATACGGTATCAACAATCCCCGAGGATGGTCAATGTAAACATTTGTAGTTGCTTACTTATTTATTCATTACTTTTTAAATCTAGAGATTCTACTTTTTCCAAACAAGAAGGGTTCACTTAAAAAGAATTAGAAGAAAATGTTAAGACTGATCGCGTTGTTTTTTCTAAAAAAAAGAATCACCATGATATTTAATTATAAAACTCTGAATGCATATTTCCGTAGTTTAGAGGCGTTATTATAACTTTCGAATTATATCGTAGTCGTTTCAAACGATTCTATTGAGTAAATATTGTACTGTAATTTATTTGACATAACGTATTCTTTTTTTTCTCATTTCGCATATTCGGGTAAGTCGGAGTAAAACACTTAGGTACTGCTGTCCCTGAGTGTATATATATATATATATATATATATATATATATATATATATATATATATATATATATATATATATATATATATATATATATATATTCATTAGAGACATCATTACTTACACACACTACAATCTGAAATCATTACTTTTCACCTCACTAAAACACAAACATAACAACTCACCTATCTAATCCCTCGAAGACAGACAAGAACAAAATTCTAGACTCTAACCGTTAACTAATGAACGACACTGACAATGTTTCTGCACCCGGGCACCACGCTGGCTATTTATAGTTTTCTCGAGGCTGCTGATCACGATTTATTTAGGAAGGTCACTGGCCTCCATTTTCTAACCACGGGACTATGTGAATCACCCATAAAAAGACTAAAAATAAATGCCCAGCAGAGATTCCCTTCAATGACGCCATACTGCGTCATACCACGACGCGCAACCAACCGTGACCGCTTCACTAACCTACCTGTGATTTGACCAGTGATTCAGCGAGGTACAGTTAAAAGACAGTCTTCTGCCCTTCGTCACATCTGACTGCACACGTGAAGAAAAAATGTTGTCGTTACTGTAACGTGTTTGTGTTGGGGGATCAGACATTGTTATGGCAGAGTAGTAGGTATGTTGAAGTCAAATGACTTTTACTGCTTTACTTCTTTCTATTTATGTGATACTCTCAAGTACGAGGAAATATGTATGCTGTTTATGTAATAGAACTTGAGAATTGTGAACATTATAGAACACACACAAATGTCATACCAGAGTAGGTGTCACTACATTAAAAAAATAAGACAAATAATAATTTAAAGGAAAGCAATTCAGCAAATGATTGGATTCCCATCATTACCATAACAAAGACGTCGTCTGCCACGAGGTGGCCATCGGATTAAGGACTGGCTACAATAGGGTTACCTTCAATTCTCCGCCTTATTTTGCTATACTCCGCCCCTTCAATTCTCCGCCTTATTTTGCTATACTCCGCCCCTTCAAAGCTAGAAAACATAGGTTGGGTAGAAGTGGTTGATCGCTTTTCTGTTTAGTTAATTAAATCGTAGCTCATTATTAAATATTTACAGGAAATCATTTATTTTCTCCTGTTTCCGGCATGTTTACATAAAAGCTTGTTATTAAAAAAGATTTCATTCATTTTTGTATCTTTTTTTTCATATGGGGTTCGAATTACCCACTCCCCCCCCCCCCCCTCCCTCACTTATTCCAAGTCTGATACCAACCTCTTCCAAGTAAAATAATACCTATATCATTATAGATCAGCAAAACAAATTTGATGAATGTAAGAGATAAAACGGACAATTAACTGTCTAGTGCCTGGTGTTGGCCTATTTTTTTTCTCCATCATGCAAAAACATGGACATTTTATTGTTTGTATTTACATATTATGATATAAGCCTGGGTTTATATACCACATAGGACTAATACAATCATTCATCATCTGGCGTAAAAAATGTAGGCCTACAGTATATTATACAACAGTAGGAGGTGCAAGCTGCCCTCTACCAATGACTTACACATATTACGTACCTCTACCACTGGTAAATATAACGCAATACCCGAACTCGTTTTGGATGGTCATAGGACATTGACTGATGACTTACGAAACTAAAAGATTACCAGACAACAAAAAAATCTCCGTGGACTCGAATATAATATCTAGAATAAAAACACACACGAAGACCTTCTGCAACTAATAATACTTTTAATCAATCTGGGACCTTCTAATATGTATACAAGTCTAAATAATAAATAGTATGTAAAACAATAGAAATATACAAATAATGAAAGACCCATCCTACGAGTTAAAGAATAACACACTGAGACTACTAACATTAGTTACGGTACTAAAGTAATCAACACAACCTACACGTGTCAAAGTGAGACTCAGAAAAATACTGAGTACAAAGATAATTGCTGCTTCAACTAAAAAATACAACATGGTGTCGTACGTGGCTCTCTCTCACCGTAGATGTCTAGTGGGCTGCCGCCCGAGGAAAATTCCTGCCTTATATACGACTCCAAAATTATAGGATGTCGACCTCAATGTTAAGGACCATTGGGAGGAAGTAGCCAAAGCTCGAGCCACACGAACTCAGTGGTGAATGCTATCACATGAGCGTGATTGAAAATTTCTTTATTCTGAACAACAAACAACTCAAGGCCAATTTAATAATCATAAAATCAAACAATAAAAAAAGGAAACCTAAGTAGGTCACATACACAATAATGTTATAAAGGATTATCTAATCATAGCCAAGAATCTGGAATTATTATCAACCAAGATTCTGAAACTAGTTTTTCAGCCAATGAATCTGGAACTATTTTTAGCAAATGAATCTGGAACTATTTTTTCAGCCCATGAATTTAAAACTTTCTTGTTTCAGCCATGAATCTGGAACTATTTTTTCTTCTTGACCTCGAGATCTGGTACCGTTAGACTTAAGAAAAACGCCAGTGCGGCGGCCACAGAGCCCGTCAGAAACACGTTGGTCCAGCCGATGCTTTTGATGAGGGGTGGGACAACGATGGGGCCGAGGAAGTAGACGACCCACTGTGACGCAGACATAAAACCGACGTTGGACGCGAAATGTTTTTCCCCGAATAACGCCATAGGTGTCATATAGTAAAACACTTTGACGGACGATGTTGCGTATAACTCCAAAGCCACGAAGACGATGTACAAAGGTGGGAATGTGTAGAGTGATATGGGCATCATGGTCATGAAAAAGTTGGAGCATGCGCAGGTGGTGACCAGGACAGGCTTCAGGCCGTATTTGTCGGACATGAAGCCGACAAGAGGACGGAACACCATCAGGACGAAGGTGCTGATGGTGCCCGCCATGACAAGGGTGTTGTCGTTGTTGATGACGGTCAGACCGAACTGTTTGTAGAGGTTGAGGTGGATGAAGAATGTGTGTCCCATCAGTGCGAAGATGGTCCAGACTTTCCAAAAGGTCAAAGTGCACAGCATCTCTCGAGTTGTCAAATCTTTCACCACGATCTCAGAAATCGCTTTTGATTTTTCGTCAATTAACCTTACCTCGCCTACTTCAATTATTTCTTTTTCTTTTAACTCCTCCGTTTGCCCATCGTCTGGCAGGTTCAACTCTCTCGGCCTACACTGTATCAATATAAACCCTACCAGCTGTAGAGCGAATGTGAAAAGTCCTATTTTTAGAAAAAATGGCGGAACTCTCTCGGTGACTTCCGGGTAAGTGAAATACCGGATATTGTTGATCTGGATGTCTGTGGCGATGTTGGATGGGTTGATAAGGTAGTACGAAAGGAGCATGTGTAGGAGGGGGAAGATACTAGGCCCGGTTGATAAGATCCCGAATGCGAAACCTCTTTCTTTTGGAAAAGTCTCAGCGGCCAGCTTGTAGGGTAAAGCCAAAAGAATCCCACCAGCCACTCCTTGAGCTATCCCGAAACACAAAAGTAGTGCCAGCGGCTCCTGCACCGCCCAGTAGCTGAGGATCACAGACGCACTTTGTATCAGCGCCCCAACCAAGATCCCCGTCTTCAAAGACGTCCTGGTCTCAATGAACCCACCCAGGATCATCCCAATAGGTTGGAGGATTTTAAAGGCGGAGGACAGCCACAGTGGATCCACCCACACGTGGACACGTGACATGTGGGCGTGGTAGTAGGACGCCAGGTAGGTGAGGAAGTTTCCGAAGTAGACGGAGACAGAGACCGGCATCAGCAGCATGATACAGCCCATCAGCACCAGGTACTTCCTCAAGAGGGTGGAGACACTTCTATAGCGACAGTCCATTATCCAGCCCGCTAAGGAAACAAAGGTTATACAGATTTACTTTAGGCGGTAACTATATAAACACACACAAACTCACACACACACTCACACGCACATACGAATATATATATATATATATATATATATATATATATATATATATATATATATATATATATATATATATATATATAATAGGCCACGTTCGCACTTCTCTCTCTCTCTCTGTCTGTCTGCAAAATATTTTCGCCGGACATCACATCAGAATCTACAGCGATATATCGAGAACTTTTTATGGACTTTTGTTGAAAATAATATGTTAGATGTTTTAAATGTATAACCACAATTTTATTTAAAGAAGAAAAATATAAAATAAAGGCGTATTCAACTGTAGAAAAACAATTTTACTTATGCAACAGGATAGCATTTATAGATGTGAAAAAGAACGCTTAAAACTGTGACGTCACTAATGTTTATACATTAACTAATGACGTCATCTGCCGTGTTTAGAATAAAAAGAAATGAACTATATCATTCAAATTTGATTTAGATCTACGTACACTATGAAATGTATACAATACAATTTTTCCTCATTCAAATTTGATTTAGATCTACGTACAATTTTTCCGGCCTAAACTCATAAAATTTATGTGTTATTTAATTGGATTCTAGATCTAGAGATTCTAGATTGATCTTGACTAGATCTAGATCTATGCAATAACTAGACGTAGACGCTAAGATCTAGATTTAGACTCTAACTTCTCTAGAATCTATTCCAAGACTTAATTATTTAATAAAAATTTTTGTTTGGAACTGGCTAATTTGGGATAAAAAAATCAATTTGAAAGAATAGGCATATTCGCGTAAGTTAAGATTTTAAAATACGTCTTTCATTCTCCGCGTTAAATGGTACCTAAATAGCGGGGATTATAGTGTACTTAAAACCACGCAGGTGGTGCGGGTTCGAGACACACCAAGTCAACTTGGTTAATCTATTTTTTTTTTTTTATTTTGCTCGGGCTAAACTTAAAAAAAAATTCTATTTGGATTCTAGATCTAGATCTAGATGATCTAGATCTACGGAAAAACTAGCCGTACACAGATGTAGACCCTACCTAGATCTAGAATCTATTCAAACAATACATTTCTATACTTAAGTATTTCAGGCCTTAATTACTTCATTGAAATCTTTGTTTATCTATGCAACTTGCTAATCTCTATAATATATAAAGCAAAGTTGTCGGGTGTCCGATAGGGCACTTTCCGGCGCCGCAGGCGCTTCAAATTTGGCAGGATCTTGCCTTGGGGCGACAGAACACGGGGGCCGGTTGGCCGAAAAATCTACGATGAGGGGGTCAAAACTGACCTCGACTGACCTGCGCCTTATATGAGCTAAAATCGAAAAAAAATGTCCACGGAGGAACCTCTTCATAACTCCTGAGGTCGTAGACCGACCCTCGGGCGAATTAATTAAGCATTCAAATCCTCAATGTTTTCGAAAGCCTAAGCGAAGCTGGGCAGCATGCCTAGTATATATATACTAGCCATCGGTACCCGTTTCACGTGAATGATAGACCGATAAAATTGTATATATTTCATAGCGTACGTCATGATGAGTAGATCTATAGAACTATATCTAAATCAAATTTAAATGAAATAGTTCCTTTCTTTATATTCTAAAATCAATTACACTATGATCTTAGCTATTTAGGCACCTTATGAGACATGAAGAATCAAAGACGTAGATAGTTAAGAAACTTAACTTACGCGAATAGGCCTATTCTTTCAATTTTTTTTTAAAATCCCAAATTAGCCAGTTCCATAGCTAAACAAACAAAGATGTCTATAAAATAATTAAGGCGTCAAATAGTATAATATAGGCCTAGAAATTTATTAATCGAATAGATTCTAGAGTAGATAGAGTCTAAATCTAGAATCTAGATCTAGATCAAGAATCTAGATCTTAGCGTCTACGTCTAGTTTTTTGCGTAGCTCTAGCCTAGATCTAGAATAATATTCTAGATCTAGATATTATCTAGATCTAGAATCCTAATAGATGAAGTGAATTTTATAAGTTTAGGCCGAGAAAATCGTATTGTATACATTTCATAGCGTACGTAGCTCTAAATCATATTTGAATGAAATAGTTCATTTCTTTTTATTCTTAACTCGGCAGATGACGTCATTAGTTTCGTGCTATTTTAGTGTAAACAATAAGCGACGTCAATAATGCGTTCTTGTCCCAAGTATAAACACTTTTCCGGTTGCATAATTTAAAAAAATAATTCTACATTCGAATACGCCTTTATTTTTTATTTTTCTTCTTTAAATAAAATTTGGTTGTACATTTAAAACATCTAACATATTATTTTCGACAAAAGTCCGTATCAAGTTCTCCATATATCGCTGCAGATTCTGATGTGATATCCGGCGAAAATATTTTGCGGACAGAAAGAGAGAGAGAGAGAGAGAGAGAGAGAGAGAGAAGTGCGCACATGGGCTTTTATATATTCTGATATATATATATATATATATATATATATATATATATATATATATATATATATATATATATTATATATATATACATATATATACTCTTGTCCTGTTGTGCACTCACAGCTTACCCTACCCCAAGAACCAGGCCACTCCCCTGGTTTAGCACAAAAATCTATCAATGAATAATTCATTACATGTAAGTTTATTGTATTTAGTTTGCCGATCCATCCATACAGACATATGTGCCATCTGCTACTCTGTTGGTTATTTTTTTTTAAATTTCATAATCTCCAGTCGGTGTGAGCTATCAAAAAAAAACGAGTATTTATTCTCAACTAAAAACTAATTACCAGTATCATATACATGTAAATGCTATCGAAAAGCTAATTACTAGTATCGTCAATACGTAAATTATATCAAAAAGCTAATTACCAAGATCGTACATACAAGAAAATTCGTTTTAATAACAAGATTTTATGTAATAATGCACTAAAACGTAGAAATAAATAGATTTCTTAAAATATATAATAATAAACTACTATTTATATAAATATAAAGAAAAGCGTTGCCACAGTGTTGGGCTGTCGTGGCCAACTTGTTTGATGTTCATGATAAAATAAATGAGACACCACATTATAACTCCTATTTACCACTGCTTGTACTAGCCAATAGATTTACACATCAGCACATAATGCTGCTGAAGTTTAAGGTACACCTACCGTTTTTTTTTCCCACCTGAATGATCTTGACATTGACTGCACTTTTGGAAAATGTTGAGAGTTATAAAAAGTAACATCTTATTTACATTTCACGTATGGGACATTTCATATGACCCAGTGAGTTGGTACTGTCTGGGAGAACATTTGGCAGTGAAACCCCAACGGCTGCCTGAAAGATGCGCAACGGAAAAAAGCGCAACGGAAAAAAGCGCAAACAGAAAAATGAAAATGTATTGACATATGTTACATCTCTTGCGACAGCCTTAATTAGTGCGTTGGGCTTGTATGAAATCTCAATTCAAACTACCTCAAGTACATTATATTTTTTTAACATGTCAAGGTTAGCGTCACCCAACCAAAGCATGTACTGAACAGCATAATAGGCAGCACGTAGCCTATATAACAGAAGAGCTATGTTGTTAATATCATTTTGCATTTTCAGTAAAAGACCTTCAAAATCTTCCACAACTTTTTTATTAAGAAACAAAGAGAGATGAACTTTTATTATAGCATCAGTCTTTGACTTAGACTTACTCCAATGTCGTCTACATTATTAAACTGACTAACTATTTAATGTATGGCTCAATTGGCTAAATGAACTAACCTTACGCCAAACCAATATGAAAGTTCCATTTTCGTAACCCTGTTATTAAGCTAGCAAAATGGAAAAGTGTATAATCTATATCCTCTACACAAACACCCAATGTAGGAGATACTCCGTGAAATGCCTATATCAAGGATAGTTTTCTGTTTATTTAAATTAGAATAATAGTTGAATAAAAATTGAACAAGAAAATAATAGGCATCGTGTTAAGCGATTATCGCCTGTATCGTGGTGATGTGAATGCACATGGTAGTGGTGTGCTTTAAATGGTCGTAGATCGCGTCAGGTCAAACACTACCCTCCCACAGCAGCCCTAACAATCATGTATAAATGTGTCATCTATATTGTGTGTGCTTTTTTTCTGTTTGCACTTTTTTCTGGTTGCGCATTTTTCTGTTTGCGCTTTTTTCTCTGTACGCACTTTTCTTTTTGCGCTTTTTTCCGTTGCGCATTTTTCTGGTCACCTACCCCAACATATGGTCTGGTATCTTTCTACGGTAATTTATCATTTGACCAAGGGTGACCACTACCACAATATCCTTTCGACATCACATCCCCCTCTACAACACACACACCGCACACACAAATACATACCGAAACAAGTCACTTATTACTGCTATTGATATTCATTTTTACTTTCTCGTATACCAAGTATAGAGGAAGTATTGTAATCGTGAAAAATAATCGAGATATTCACAAATCTCGACGTTTTACACGTCCCTCAATCGGAAAAACATAGTTTTGCAATTTTGTCCTTATATCTCTGTGTGTGTATGTGTGTGTATGTCTGTTAACGCGATACATTGAGTACCGTTACAGCTAGGTTGATGAAATTTCATATATAAGTATTACATCAAATTTGTAGTTCTGTATTAACTTTTCAGCGAATTCCGATAACCGGAAGTGGAAATTATTCTACTTTCAATTTTTCAAAAGCTTATAACTTGAGTACTGTTTCAGATAGATTAATGTCAAATGTTGAGTAATTTCCGATGACTGGAAGTAGTAATTTACGCAATTTTTTATTTCTAAAAAAAAACGCTTTTGAATTTATAAAGCACTAATAATATTTCGCACTATTATACACATTTTATTTGGCGTTTACTCGGGGCGCAAATTCTCTAGATAAAACAGTTAACTTTGGCCACGCAAAAAAAATATTGATTATTATTATTATTATCTATATATAATTCTGTTCA